AAAAAAAAAAAAAAAAGATACTAAAGGCATGAAAAAGAAAAAAATTTCTGCATTCTTTTAAATTACTCCTGCAAATCAATATATACTGAAACATGAAGAGCAAATGTACATTGCTTCCCCACATTTTAATAAAGTTTTCTTACCTCCAACATGGCAACTAACTCTGATTTGGAAATGCCGATTCTGTCTCGGTCACAACTGTCTACTACATAAATGACTGCATCTGTGTTTGAATAGTAACACCTCCAGTATGGCCTAGAGAAAGTTCAAAAATAAAGAATATATTATTATTTGAAAGAAACTGAAGTGCCAACTTGCAGGGCTCATGACAATGATGGGGAGTTATATGTCCAATCCTGCCCCACCCTACATTAGAATCACAGAAAGATCCACTGTCTCTGATGGGCATGTAACATCTCTCAGACAACAAGGGGTCATAAAAGTGTTGATAAGCATTAAATCACAGGACCAAGGAGTTTCAGAATGATTTCAGACTTCAGGTTAAGAGAATATATTTATAGTCTATAAAAATCACTAAATGTGCAGGTAGAAAGGTTATACACAGACAAGTCTAACTAGGAACCCCTTAAAATGAGTAGATTTAAATTTTTTAAAATGTGACTTTAGTTACTTTGAATTTATCACTTAGGTTAGGCATTAAATTATCACTGACGACAACAAGAAGTAGCAATGGCTAAAATCTAGAACAGTCTCAAAACCAGTTTCAAGAGATGTAATGAATTAAAAGCAGCCAGGATACCTGGGGAATATGCTAATAATCTTTTCAGATGGTACCACAGTGAGCAACCAGGTTGCTGTTGTTGGCCGTCAGCAATCGATTCTGACTCACGGCGGTCCCATATGTGCAGAGTAGAACTGCTCCACAGGGTTTACAAGGCTGTGACCTTTCAGAAACAAATCGCCAGGTCTATCTTCCAAGATGCCTCTGGGTAGGTTTGAACCATTAACCTTTCAGCTAGTAGTCGAGCATTCACAGTTGCCATGTCTAGTGCACAGACTGGTAGAGAAGACCCAAGTTCTGGAGCACATCTATAGGCACATTAGCTCTAATTGCTGGGCCTGCGAAGAATTTTTATGAATTCCAAAACTGTGTGTTTCACAGAGAAAAGCATGACAAGAACTAAATATAGTACCATTTTTAGTTCAAAACTAGTGAAAGTAATTAGGTCTTGAAATTTCTGTGAAAAGATTTTTCATTTAAATGATATCTGAAAAACTGGCCTCCTTAAACAGATTTTCATTTTGTTGATGCTCTTAAGAGAACAGGTATATCAAATTGTACCTTATTTTAAAGTTAGTAGCTCCCATTTAACTTACAAAAGAAGATATATTTTGGTTTAACTATTAACCTGTAGAAGAGCCAATAAATATTAAATACCACAAAATAAATAATCGGGGCTTTGTACCATACCTGATACTCGTCTGTCCTCCTAAATCCCACACTTGAAATTTGAGGTTTTTGTATGTTACTGTCTCAACATTAAACCCAATGGCTGAAAGAGAAACCAAACCAGTTATATGTGTAAGACGAACATATTCTATCTTCAAATTGTTCAGTCCAATTAAAATGACTGCTTTACACATCATGCTTGTCCCGTGCATGTAAACAATGGTTGAATTATTGAATCACATTATTGGTTGACATTATTACATTTAAGACAAGATAGTAAGCTGTGCAACACACACACAAACCCACCACCACCAATGCAAGATCAGCATCATTAGATTATACAAAATATGTTAGAATATAAACAATTTATAATTTGTGTAATTCTTGCTGCTGTTAGTTGCCGTCAAGTTGACCTCGGCTCATAAACGCCCCAGGTATGACGGAACGAGGAGCTGCCCGGACCTGTGCCATCTGCCATCAGGTGTGGACTGGATGACGCTCCCCTGTGATCTAAAGTTCTCACTGGCTGATTTTTGGAAGTAGATTGCAAGGCCTTTCTTCCTAGTGCATCACAGTCCAGAAGCTCTGCTGAAACCAGCAGACAAGCCGCCACCAACAGGAAGGAGGCGGCTGCACCTGAGGCACCACACCAAATGCAACGCGAGAATTATCACTCAACCACCCAGTGAACATCCTACTATGTTAAGCTCCCTCATAATACAGTAAAGACACCAAAAACCAAACTCACTGCCACCACAGCAACCCCTCCTTGGGTTTCCGAGGTGCCATGTCTACAGAAGTAGATTGCCCAGTCTTCCTTCTGAGGAGTGTCTGATGGGTTTGAACTGCCAACCTTCTGGTTAGCAGTCAAATGCCTTAGGCACTAAGCAGTACTAGCATACAAAAACTGTTCAGAAAGTTATATTAGAAAGTACAATTGTAGGTAAACTAGAAAAACCTAGAATTTTGCCAGGCAGCAAATAATAGAGAGCAAAACTAACAAAGACTAGATTCTAAACTTTAGCATGTAAGGATGTAACAATGGTGGCACGTTGCTTACTGGAAGCTGGTTTCTCTTAGGCTGGCAATCTTACCTACCCTCTGCAAACATCCTCAAAATCTGACTTGGAATGAAGTCACAGGTGGATGGCTGGTCAAAGCAGAGTCCCATCCCTTTTCTCTGCCACACAGAGGTGAGGCAGGACACTTCTATTCTCATGTAAAGAAGAGTGGAGAGGATGCTGGAAAAAGGAGTTGTATGTATAAAGGCTACTAATATTTTACATAGGAGCTCTGGTAGCATAGTGCCTAAGGCACTTGACTGCTCACCAGAAGGCTGGCAGTTCAAACCCACCAGCCACTCCTTGGAAGGAAGGTTGGGCAATCCTACTTCCGTAGTGATACTGCCTCGGAAACCCAAGGAGGGGTCGCTATGAGTTGGGGCCGACTCGACGGCAAAAAACAACAACAACAACAATATTTTACAAGGAGCTCTGGTGGCATAGTGCTTAAGGCATCTAACCGCTAACCAGAAGGGTGGCGGCTCAAACCCACCAGCCACTCCTCAGAAGGAAAACTGGGCAATCTACTTCCATAGAGATACTGCCTCAGAAACCCAAGGAGGGGTCACTATGAGCTGGAAATGACTCGACGGCAGTGAGTTTGGGATTTTTTTTGGTAGTATTTTATAAGCTTAAAAAAAATCAAAGTTAAAAAGACTTAACTAATAGGACAATTAATTTTTGTTTTAGATATGAGTATATTGGTAAATATACTTATGAATATTTGGCAAACATGCTTATTACAATTAAAATACAACCATATTATAACAACCCTAAGTGAAAGACTAACTAACAAGTTCATGACGTCCTCCTTAGAATCAGGCAATCGTGTAACCACCTGATCACCATAAATAAGAACCACTGTGTACATGTAAAGGGCAAGAATGGGGTGTAAAACAGCATTCACTAAAAGTACACCATGCTGCTGTGAGCAGTGCAGGGGCCACCAAGAGACACCACAGCATAAATGGGCAATTGTGAGAAGCAAAAACCCAAGGTAATTGAAATTTACTTCAGGTAGCAAAAAGAAATAATAGATGTCATGGGCCTAAAAAATTATTTTTCTTTAATCTGAACGTTTAAATACCAATAATATAGAAATATCCTGAGTGATAACAAAACTTTGGATACATCATTTAAAGACACTCCAGCAAGCTGTATGAACTCTTAGTTTAAATGTACATTAAAAATTGTGAGAGCCAGAACTCAATGGGGCTGCCTTGTTTTTCTGGGTCTTGCAATTTTTCTGCCTTTGACAGGGTGCAGTCACTACTTTTCCATCACTCTCTATTGAGTGGAAAATACCTGAATTTTCCTTTTCTGACAGGTTTCTGTCTTACACAGGTTCTGAACTTTCGCAGGTTTTACTGTATTAGTTTTAAGTAAATTTAGGTCAAAAAGTGAAAAAGGTATAAATAACAGTATTCTTATTTAGTCAAACAAGACAGTTTGAGAATATTTTTCTAAGATACGAATAACTGATTTAAAACTTATTTTCTTAGTTTTGATCCCTGCTATTTGCTGCCTACCAATTCTTGATTTAGGTCCCAGATTACTTCACCAATGTGTCTACAATTCAGATCTTCAAATGTAATCAATAGAATTACTTAAGAGAAATTAAGTCAATTAAAAATAATAAGAAGTACAAAAAATCTACTTCACATGTAATATCACTAAGTGTAGATAAAACATCTTATATTGGTTTACTTTTATATTTTTATTTCACTTCCTCTCAAAGGCAGTGGATATTATCTTCATAGTATCAGTAGAGATGCTAGCTCTCAAGAGATCAGGGACTTAACCAAAGCTGATTTATAAAGAGCAAAACCCTACCATGTAGTAGGACTGAAGCCAGCCCACTGCCATCGAGTCAATTACAATTCAGTGATCTTTTAGGGTAGAACTGCTCCCTAGGGTTTCCAAGGGTGTAAATCCCGAGGGAAGCAGACTTCCTCATCTTTTTCCTGCAGAGCAGGAGGTGGGTTCAAATCACCAATGTATTAGCCGGGGGGAGGAGGGGGGCAGTGACTTCAACTCTAGACCTAAAGGGTGACTTGGGAGTACGGTCTTGGGTTTTCACCAGTCTTCTATCAGACCAGTAAGCCTGGCCGTTTTTATGATTTTGAGTTTTGCTCCACATTTTTCTCCCACTCTATCCAGAATCTCCAATTTTGATCCCTTTCTGAGTGGTTGGCACTGATAGCCAAGCACCATCTAGTTCTTCTGGTCTCTGCGTTGAATTTCTCATGGTTCATTAGTCCTTTCGACTAACTGTTTTCCATGCATCTTTGATTTTCTTCACTCTTCTTTGCTCCGGAGAAGAAGAGACCAATAGTTCCATCTTAGATAGCCATTCCCAAGCTTTGAAGACCCTGGTCACTACTTACTGAAGTAAGATGTAGACATATATTTTTGTATGCCATGTTGTGCCAATTGAGCTTGATGTCCACTGCAACCCTGGTCCCCAGCCCACAGGATCAGCAACTCACTCTCTTAAGGTGTTTATTTGTAGCTAAGAGGTTATCCTAATTTCACCTCCTGTTGGGTTTAAACTGTATGTGGACATTTTTATAACAGACACAAATACATACATAGTAATGGCAGACCTTTTGGTTAGCCGTTGAATGCTTTCACCACTTTGCCACCACAGCTCCTCTGCAGTAGGCCAAAAACGAAAAAAGCTTACTGCTGGCGAGCTCCAACTCACAGCAACCCTCCCTGGGTTTCTGAGGTGGATCCCTACAGAAGCAGATTGCCTAGTCTTCCTTCTGAGGAGTGGCTGGTGGGTTTGAACCGTCAGCCTTCTGGGTAGGCACTACGCCATTAGAGCAGTAGGACAGGGGCTCTTAAATGGCACAAAACTGCCTCTTGGTTCATAAAAAAAGTGTTATAAACATTATGCTTATCCTAGAAGTTTACAAACCTTAATTACTTTATTATATGAATGATTTATCAATTCCAAGTCTCGACTTCAGAAATAAAACTTAAGTTAGATGAAAACCAAAAAGTTCCTACAATTAGCTCACCATACCAGCACTTACTAGGAATAGTAGTAACGACTTCTCCAACCTGTAATCTGTACAAAATTGTGGTTTTTCCTGCTCCATCTAATCCCAAAATTAAAATCCTCATTTCCCGGGTTCCAAACAGACTGGAAAAAATGCTTGAGAAAAAACCACCTAAAAACATAGTAAAAGTGAAACCGTATTCAGAACCATTTATTTGAAAACAGGTTCTTAAAACATTTAATCTTGCCTTTTAGATGCTACACCAAATTAAATAATATACTATTTTCTTCAATTCATAAGTACTTATTTTTGCTCCCAATGAAATATATTATTCAACATCAAATAAATATTTACTGATTATTATCATGTCCCAAATACTGTGCCAGGGAGCACAGAGGATACACTACAGAATAATATGGCCACTGTCATCCTGGTGGTTAATTTCTGTGTTGCTGTTGTGTGCCATCGTGCTTAATTTCTAGTCAGGGGATTATAGTGACCTTAGCATGATCTCATCCCTAAAAACCAAAAGGGCCAGTCAGAACGACAGTGGGTCAATAAGGTCCTCAAATATGTAAAGCAATGATTATTGTTATACAACAGTAATGTCACCATAATGATCTTCAATTCTGGAGATTTCTCCAGCAAGCAATATTAACTACAAGAAACTGAGACACAGAAGCCGAAAATGCCAACAACTATTTTTCATTAAAAATTGAAAATCTACTTAAAACAAAACAACCTAAAGCTGCATCTAATGGACCATAAAATATTTCCTAATATATGCAAGATATTGCAGAAAAGTACACTAACAACACACACACACACAAAGACAACAGAAGAGACGCCACATACAATACACGGTTATCTGACACAACTAAGCTTCGAGTTCGGGGAAATGAACATACCAAGAGCTAGAGAACTCTAGGCAAGTTTAATACGAGGGTAGTGACTTCATTAAGACCCTTTCTGCCTCTCACAGGTGGAAAAATGACAGGCAAACAAAACTGAAGGGGGTTATGGAAGACAGGAAAGTGCCTGTGTTCTGCCTGTGTTCTACGGGAGCAGGAAGTAAACTCCCCAGAAAATTGTGGAGGGATTTAAACAACCAGACTTTGCACCTTCTTTTGGTCTCTGGCGGGGTGGAGGGGAGAGTTATCTGATGACCGTGCTGGTGAAAGACTTCCCTCAATAATCAGACCAAAATTTGACATTAAAATTTCATTTACTGACTTCCCCACTACAAGAAAAGCTATAAACAAAGAAACGGCTGTAAAACATAAGCAACACTTCCCACTTGAATTCCTTAGAGTGACGCAGTCCCATCGTCCTGGAGAGAGAATCAAGCTTCCACTATCGGGTCAATTCTTATCTTTCATCCAATAAACCTCAGCTAACCTGCGGCCCACACGTTGCCTGTCTTCACAAACCCAACTCTGTACAGCAAGTAGTGGGTATGAGGGGGCAAGGGGCGTTTATAGTCAGGGGATGCAGTCCACACCTCCGGCCAAGATGAAGGTGGGAAACTGACGCGGGCAGTTCTCACTAAGCCAGGTTCACCCGCACCCTGAGAACGTGGCTACTCTATCGCTTCCCCTCACCTCCTCCCGATCCAAGCCCTTGGCTGCAGAACCCTCAAGCTCTCCCAGGACCCCTTCTCTGACCCCTCACCCATGATGAACCGCCTGCCCGCCCTCGCCGATTATCAGAAACAAGCCCCGGCCGCGGCAGCGACTCCTATTCGAGCCTCAGCACCGGTACAGCCGTTAACCTCAGCCTCGGTTTCAGGCTCCGAGGCGGTTTTTTCGGAAGCCTGGTCCGCCAGCAACTTCCACGTCGGAATCCCAGCGGGGGCGGGGGCGGAGGCGGGGGCAAGAGCGTGGAGACGCCGCGACTACGTTCTGGGAACGGCGACCTGAGCGTCAGCGTTTTCACTTTCGACGCATGTCCCTGGCCGGCTGGTTGTAGATATTATGGACATCAGAAGAGAAAAAAATATTCAAGGCTTCAGATCTCTCTGTCTTCTAGTTTTCTACACAGAAGAGACTTTTTAAATAGTGAAATTCCAATTTTCATTTTAAATTCTGATTCAAAAATGTGGCGAATCTGCGAGTAGAAAATGCAAAACTGTCCTCGATGAGTGGCCGGACGGGTTGCTAGCGCCGATTGCCGAAGATGTGGGTTCTGGAGCTTGCTGTGGTTGCGTCCCGGCTTTCCCCGGGTGTTTTATTCGAGGAGGAAGTAGGACTTAATAGTAATAACACCTCGCCACCAATGCGGAGCAGACTTACGCTTGCAAACTGCGACGATTTTTACTGTCGCCCTGGTCTAGAAGGCTGTCGTAGCTCCCCCACACCTCTTTTTTCCGACGGATTCTGGTCCAGGGCTTCGAACCGTAGTTTACCCCTATTCCAATTATCGTGTCCGTTCACCAAAATTTTAAAAATTTGCTTATGGTTTCGTTTCTTGGATCATGACTGAACCGGTTCGAATCTGTATTTTTACGCTCCATCTGAAATTTCTATTTAGCAAATGAATAGCCTGGAGCAATTTCATCTGAAGAAATACAGCTACACATTAGTTCCTTATTTTGCAAATAATACTGCGTTTTTACGCTAATTCAAATTTTGTTCATCCCAAGATTTTGTAATTGGATTTGAAAGTAGCAAAATGAAACTTCTTCTACACATTCATTTATAATTAAATCTAAAGTGACAATAATACTCAGTTTTAATCACTGTCTCAAAACATTTCAATACAAAGAAAAAACCATGTTAAATATTTTTTAATTCTATTTTATAAAAGATACTGGAATTCAGTGTAGAGTCGCTTTAAAAAATAGTATTTTAAAAAAATAGTAATAAAATACACTTTAAAAATGTTTTTGTTATGTGCCATCGAGTCGGACCCGACTCATAGCGACCACTCTTTGGGTTGCCGAGGCAGTATCACTAGGGAAGTAGATTGCCCCATCTTACTTCCGAGGAGTGGCTGGTGGGTTTGAACTGCCAGCCTTCTGGTTAGCAGTCAAGTGCCTTAGGCACGATGGTAATTTAAAAAAAATAAATAACACTCCTAACATACTGTATGGGATCTTTCGTGGAGTAGTGCCTAAGGCACTTGACTGCTAACCAGAAGGCTAACGGTTCAAACCCACCAGCCACTCCTCCGAAGAAGGTTGGGCAATGTACTTCCATAGTGATACAGCCTGGGAAACCCAAGTAGGGGGTCTCTATGAGTCAGGTTTGACTGGACAGCACATAACAACAAGCGTATAAATACTAAATTGAAGATTCAAAGTACTTTTTTAGTAGGAAATGCTCAATACAATAAAATGCACCAAAAACAATTTTGAAGATTGGTAAGAATTTGTTAACAAAATACTAGAAATACAAACTGTGCTATCATACCTAATACATCAGTACATTAAAGGCATAGTGCAATAAAATATGTAATACTTTAATATTCATCGCAGTTCTAACCTGAAGAATTGCCATAACGTTGTTAGGTGCCACCAAGTCGGTTCTGACTCATAGTGACTCTACGTACAACAGAAGGAAACGCTGCCAGGTCCTGTGCCAATAATTACAATCCTTGCCATGCTGGAGCACAGTGTCCACCCATCTCATTGAGCTCTTTGCTCTTTTGCTCACCCTCTGCTTTACCGACCACGACAGCCTTATCTAACGATTTGCCCCTTCTGGCAGCATGACCAAAATGCAAGAGAGGACACTGGCTATTCTCACTTCTGTTTTTTTAAACTTTTCATTGTGATTTGGGTGAGAATTTACAGAGCAGTTTCGTTTTCCATTCAACAGTCCGTACACATTTTGTTTGTGTCATTGATTGCAATCCCCACAATGTAACAACTCTCTGCCCACTTCTTTCCATGTGTCCTTCTTTCCTATGTATTTCTGCCCTCTGAACTTTCTCACTGCACAAATGCTGCCGTTCTGATATCCTATGGTTGATTGTTCCGAGGAATGCACCTCCCTGGTATAATTTTTTTACCTTGTGGGCCTGACTGTTGTTTGGCTGAAAATTAAGCCATGGGAGTGAGGTCAATTCATGGCCCAAAGAGTAACTGGGCACCATGGCTCTGGGGTTTCACCCTTCTCTATCAGACCAGTAAGACTTTTTTTTTTTTTTTTTTAATGATTTTAAGTTTTGTTCTACACTTTTCTCCCACTCTGTCCAGGGTCACCAAATTAGATCCCTTTCTCAGTGGTTGGCAGTGTTAACCAGGCTCCATCTAGTTCTTCTGGTCTAAGGGTCATGTAGGCTCCAGTTCTCATGATCCACTAGTCCTTTGGACTAATTTTTTCCATGAGTCTTTGCTTTTCTTTACTCCTTGCTCTGGACGTGGAGAGACCTATAGTTGTATCACAGATGGCCGCTTGCACGCTTTTAAGACCCCAGTTGCTACTCACCAGAGTAGGATGTAGAACAATGCTTTTATATACTATGTTATGCCAGTTGAGCTTGATGTCCCGTGTGACCATGGTCCCAAGCCCACAGGTCTGGTTGAATCATTCCGTCAAGTTTGGTTGTGGCTAAGAAGTTACCATGACTTTGTCCCCTCTTAGCTCTATTATAAAAATATAGGGACGTTTTCATAGCACATACAAATATGTACATAAAAATATCATCTGCCAAACCTATATGTGGTCATGGGTATTTTCCTGTTTACCTACCCGTACCTGTCCATCTTGTCTGTCTACCTATGTATCCACCCATAGACTAGTGTTTATTACTGATAATACAGTATTGTGTCTGTAATAATATTACCTTTGTTGTTTATCTTGTGCACCTCTCCATACCTTCCTTTTCCTTAGTGATATATTGCTACTCAACCACTTTTGGTGTATTGCCTTTCCCTTCACCCAAATCAATGCATGTCTCTTACCTCCCCTCCTTGCTAACCAACAAAGAAAGTTTCCTTCCATGTGTAAACCTTTCCTTGACTTTTTATAGTAGTGGACTCATACAGTATTTGTCTTTCTGTGATTGACATTTCATGCAGCATAATGTCCTCCAAGTTCATTCACGTTATGAGGTGTTTCACCAATTCTTCATTGTTCTTTAGTGTTCATAGCATCCCATTGTGGATATAGTTTGGTTATCCATTCATCTGTTGATAGGCATTTAGGTTGTTTCTATCTCTTTGCTATTGTGAATAGTGCTGCAGTGTATATGGGTGTATATCTGTTCATATCCTGGCTCTCACATCTTTAGGATATATACCTGAAAGTGGAATTGATAGATCAAATGGAATTTCTATTTCCAACTTTTTAAGGACACACCATACCATCTTCCACAGTGGTTGTACCACTTTACAGTTCCACTAGCAGTGTATAGGGAGCTCTGGTAGTGTAGTGCCTAAGGCACTTGACTGCTAACTGGAAGGCTGGTGGTTCAAACCCACCAGCCACTCTTCAGAAGGAAGGTTGGACAATCTACTTCTGTAGTGATACTGCCTCGGAAACCCAAGGAGTGGTTGCCATGAGTCAGGTCCAACTCGACGGCACATAACAACAACAACAACAGCAGTGTATGAGAGTTCCAGTCTCTCCACACCATCACCAGCATTTGTTGTTTTTTCTCTTCTTGAACTTTGCTATTATTGCTGGAATGAGGTGATATCTCACTGTTGTTTTCATTTGTATTTATCTAATGGCTAATGATTGTGAGTATTTCTCCATGTGTTTTTTGGTCACCTAAATATGTTCTTTGGTGAGATGTTCATGTCCTCTGCCTGTTTTTCAATTGGAATGTTAGACTTTTTGTTGTTGAGGTGTTAAAGTTTTCAATAAATGTTAAAGGTAAGTTCCTTGTCAGATATGTCACTGACAAATATTTTTTCCCACTCTGTAGGTTTTCTTTTTACTCTTTTGGAGAAGTCTTTTGATGTGCAGAAGAATAGAATTTTCAGAAGGTCTTAGTCTTTTAGTTTCTCTTCAGCTGTTTGTGCATTTTTGGTTATGTTTGCTAGTCAGTTTACGCCATAAATTAGGCTTCTTAAGTTTGTTTCTACTTTTATTTTGATGATATTTATAGTTTTAGGTTTTACATTTAAGTCTTTGATCCATCTAGAGTTAGTTTTTGTGTATGGTGTGTATGATAGTTGGAGCTGTGTGTCAACTTGGCTGGACCCCAGTCCTGTGTGGTTGTTCCATGATGGGATCGGATGACTGTGTTCTGAGTGGCCAATCTGTCGAAGGGGAGTTTCCCTCGGGTGTGGCCTGCTTCCAGATACTCTTCTGTGGATCCGGATTCCTTTGTGCTGCCTATAACTATGTGTGAGTGAGCCTGGAGATCTTGGATTCGTCATTCGTTAGAGTCAACAGCCAGTGTACTGCCTGCCAGCCTTGAACTCCTTGGCCCCTGCGGTTGCGGGAGCCAGGAAAAGCCTCCAGCTTGACGTTTGATCCAGGAACTTTGGACTTGCCAGCTTCTATACGTGTGTGAGCCATTTTCCCAAGATAAATTTATTTCTCTCTCTCTATAAGCTTTACTGGATTTTGTTTCTCTAGAGAACCCAGTCTAACACAGTGTGAGGTATGGATCTTGCTTCCTTTTTCTGCACATGGATCTCCGGTTTTGCCAGCACCATTTGTTAAAGAGACCATCTCTTCCCTGTTTAATGGGTTTGGGGCCTTTGTCAAAGATCAGCTGTCCATATGTGGATAAGCCTGTTTCTGGATTCTGA